GGGGGGGGGGGGGGGGGGGGGGGGGGGGGGGGGGGGGGGGGGGGGGGGGGGGGGGGGGGGGGGGGGGGGGGGAGCGAGCTGGGGATACTTGGATAAACAAGCAGACACAGCCAGGGTTCTGACATTGTTGGGCTTGGTACCCAAGAGGTTACCCCACACGGAGACACACACCCAGCGGGCGATATAAGCGCTCCACGCGTACAGGGGCAAGTTCCAACCTGGACGCATGCGATGAATTTACGATTTGCGAACCAACGCCGATGTGTGTCTTGTGTGTTTCGATGTTTGGTGGTGCAGGGCTAACGCAAGTGACTGCTCGAGTGCTCTTGATTGTATGGGTTTTGGGGATGACTACCTGGGCTTGTGCTGCGCGTTGAAGCGTGGAACATGCATGTGCCATGCTCGGGAACGATGGTGAACACCGCAAGCCCGAACTGCCACTAATCTATCCGCTGCCCCTATTCGGTATACTGAGGGTACTCGTAGCATAGGATGACTGGTGATATCTTCAGTACAAACCTACGAAAATTGCAGTGATGAGATGCGGAGGAACGGGAACTTTCTAGGAATTTTCCTTGGTAGTGAGAGGAGATTGATGCAGACCCAGAGAGATTCGTTTGTACTTTGAGCGTGATGAGCGTGACGCATGACTTGCTACCGTGATAGATTGACGAGCTTAAGCACGCCCCCGGTTAATACAATTACGTTCTCCAACACGTTTCTACCCTACCACGGCCCGTCGTGGCCGAGCTGCTCTACACTCCCAACACAAATAACTGAGCCACCCGAATTATCGATCACGCTAGCGTATGACACGTCGTCTACGAAATTCACGGTCGAGCTTAGTCTAGGAGTATCGCTTTGCGGCGATCAGGAGCAGGATCAAGATGGCTACATCCAGGCGCGAGAGCGACGACGCCCGCCGAGCAGAGCAAGAAGCAGCTGAGGAAGCTCGGATCGAAGACGTGGTGAACCAGAGGCAAGCAGCAAGGCTGGCCGAGATGGAGATACAGCGACAAGATGAGGAACTGAGGACAGATGACATCCGGAGAGGGAACGAGCAACAAGGGGCACACCACCAGCAGCACGCGGGGGCCCCATCGGCCAACCCCTCCGCCGACGACATCGCCAATGCCATCGCAAGCGCAATGACTGCCCGTCGCCAGACATCATCCGGGGACCTCGGTGGAGTACCACATGCAGGGACATTGAGAATGACTGAAACCAGGCGATTAGCGCCTTGGGACGGGGATTTCAAACCAGGGGAGGATGAACAGGCTAAGCTGTTGATTTTCAAGTCGAGCATGCTTGCAAGATTTGCGCAGGAAGTTGTGCATGAGGTCATGATGAGTGACGAGGACATACCTGTTGGAAAAGAAGGAGTGGACATGGCAGGACTGAGGATGATGGCGATCAGAAGGTTACCAACGCAATAGCGGCGTGGAATTTGCTCATCACATCGGTGACTTACCTGCCTGTACTGCCACAGATCGTCTCTGATGGTAGCCCGAGTAGGGGACGGAAAATCTTCCTCGAGTACTACGAGCCCAAAGCTCGTGAAGAAAACACAAGGCGTTCGTCTGAATATCACGGCAAAAAGATGAAGAAAGGAGAGACTCCTCAGGAGTACTTCGGAAGGTTTACTGTTTTGCGAAATAGACTAGCCTCGTACGGGTGTCACGTTTTCCGATGATGATGCTAACAGCCACCTTGCTTGTTACTTGGTTTTCAACCTGTCTTCTGATTATGGTCTTGAGAGGATGAGGATGGGCAATACGGACGTGTTGACTCGCCAGAAGATAGACAAGGCTGTGAGGGGTGCCTACGCGGATCAGGTGCGCGCCCGCGAGGAGGAGCAGAAGAGTGGCGTGGGGCACACCTTCATCGCTTCCGGTGCACCCCGGGGCGACGGGCGTGTCCAACATGGGTCGCATGGGAACGGCGGCGGACAGGACGGCAAAGGCGGCGGTCGGAGCAGGAGCACCGGGACCAGAGGAGACAAGCGCTGCGAGGTCTATCCGTGGGCGTTTCACACCAACGCGGAGTGCGATGTTCAGAGGAAGCAGCGGGAGCGGAAGCAGCAGCAACAGCAACAGCAACAGCAGCAGCAGCAGCAGTCCCAGCAGCAGCAGCAGCAACAGCAGCAGCAGGTTCCTCAACAGGCCCAGTCACAGCAGCAGCAACAGCGGCAGTCTCCACATCAGCCGCAGCAGTACCAGCAGCCTCATCATCAGCAACAGCAGCAGCAGCAGCAGCAGCAGCAGCAAGGTGGCCGCGGTGGGGGGGGCTGGGCTGGTGGACCTCAGCACGGACCCCCCGGCGGCCACGGAGCGCAGCAGCGGTACGGATACCCAGTTTCCCCTCGCCCGCAGCAGCAGCACTGGTGACCCCCGCAATGGCATGCAAACGTGATGCACCAGCAGTATAGTGCCACGCCCCACGGGGGGGGCCGTGTATGGGGGTTCGGAGTAGCAGAAGCCACCGTGCCAGCAGCCTCCGGCTGACTACACCCAGTTGTCGCACCCTGTGTTCCCTTTTCCCTGCCGTAAGCTGTATGCTCTTAGTATTGCCTCCGGCCTCTCTTTGTGCTTTTCTTCTTTCTTTCTTTCTTGTTCTCCATGCCCTCTCTACGATGATCTTGGACGATACCTCGAGCTCCTTGTTATTTTTGTTTTTTCCTTTGCTGGCTGCCTGCCACCTCTGCTGCCTCTTTGGTGCGGTGCCTACCCTACACTAATGCGCTGGTGCATACTGCACTGCTGTAGTACCTGGTACTGGTGTACGTTGTCCTTCGATTTTTTTTTTTTGTGGGAATATATATGTGTTTGTTTTTCGCCCCCCGTCTTGCTGCACCCCCTGGGGTGTGGTGCAGGGCGGGGGATGCCTGGTCGGCGAGAACCCGGCACGGAACCCTCCGGCGTTGTAGGCGGGTGTGGGAAGCGTTCCCCGTTCTCCTTTTATTTTATTTTGATCGGTCTCCTCGACGCTCTTTCTCGTTTGGTGCGGTAGCTGGTATTTGTTTCTATCATTTTGTTTCTCTTCCGAGTGATTTTTGTACCCTATTTTTTTCTGTTTCTTCGTGGGGTCGTGTATGCTGGGTTTTGAGACCACGGGCTCCCAATCTTTCTTTTTTAGAGCTAATGTGAGAAACAACAACAACAACAACAACCCAGCAGCAGCAGCCGTACTACCCGCCTCCGACACCATACTACCAACAGCAGCTGCCTCCGCCTCCGCCTCCGCCGACGTTCCAGCAGCAGCAGCCGTCGCAGCAGCAGCAGCACTCCACCCATACCCCGCCCCACTCGGACACCTCCCAGAGCAGCAGCACCGTCCCCCGGCTCACTTCACTTCATAAAGGCACGTTTTGTGCCAGCAGGCGAGATCGTACCCAGCGGTGTGGTGGCGAGTACCGAGCGTGAGAGTGGTAATGGATGTGCTTTGGCTGCACAAAACCCGCATTCGCATTTTGGTAAAGAGATACTTTGGGCCCACGGCGGCGCGACCAACACGTTTGTATGGTGCAAAGAAAACAGGTTGAACATGATACCAGGCACGGCGTACACGTCCGACACGCTGCAATCGCACATTGATACCGTTTCCTACTTGAACGTACTCCTTCCCTGGCGGCACTGGCCTCAAGTCACAAATGTGATGGCTGGTGCATACAAACGGGTTGGTCGCGCCGCTGTCGGCCCAAAGTGTCTCTCTACCAAAATGCGAATGCGGGTTTTGCAGCCAAAGAAAATCCACTACCACTCTCACGCTCGGTACTCGCTACCACACCGCTGGGTACGATCTCGCCTGCTGGCAAAAAACGTGCCATTAAGAAGTGAAGTGAGCCGGGGGACGGTGCTGCTGCTCCGGGAGGTGTTGAGTGGGGCGGGGCATGAGTGGAGTGCTGCTGCTGCTGCGACGAGGCACGACGTACACCTCTGACATCTGAACGCAAAAGTCAGTCTCGCCCGATGGGCCGGACATGTGAAACGCCATATTGACCCTACCGACACACTGCACTCGCAAATAAGCACCGTTTCCTACTTGAGTGTACTCCTTCTGCTCGAGTCAAACATGTGATCGCTGCTTCTTACAAACGTGTTGGTCGCGCCGCTACGGCCGGCGTTATACCTGCGAGGTCAGGCTGCCAGTCCGTCGCAACGGCCGGCGTTGTACCTTCGACTCCTGGCGTCCAGCCCACCGGATCCGACGGTGTAGTATCTTCGGTCCCAGCGTCCTCTCCACCGCTTCCGGTGTAGTGCTACCGCATTGTGTTTTTCCGCCCGTCGACGTAAACGTAGTCCCCACGATGATCCCCGACTTTCAGCCTGTCATCACGGCTGACGTAGAATCGTCTGAGATTGTGTCTCTCCCTGCAGTGGGCCCGACTGATTTTCCCGAGATCGATTTCAACCCCCTTGTCTCCCAGGACAACTTATCGATCATGGACAGCAGGTCCTCTCGCATGCCTTGGCGATTATAGTCCCCGTTGTTTTCCCATTTACGGCAGGAAAATCCCCGCCCACCATCGACATTAATTTGTTCCACGCCTCCACCGGCCATGTTAACGAATTCCTGATGCGTGAGACAGCCAAGCAGCAGGGTGTACCATTGGTGGGAGAGATGCACCCTCCGGTGGCGGCGCCGCTCTCCACCACCGCCTTGGGCTGTTGGACATGATGGATAAGGCCTCATCTTGTCGCTCGCCACCCGGGAGCCAAGGACGCCGCGACCTACCGCCTCCGCCGCCGCCGGATCCGAGTCTTGGAGGCCGTGGGAGCCGGGGGGTTGGGGGAGCTGGGGGAGCTGGGGGGCTCGTGGATTCCGGGGGGGAGGTCGCATGTGTTCGCGACGATGTTCGCCATACGCGACGACGTGGACGCCGCTCTTCGCGCCGAGCGCCCCCGTGACAAGACACCAGACCTTTCCTAATGCCTCGCCAGCGATCTCCGCGTGCCGAAGACATTCAATGAGGCCATGCGGTCTCAACACTAGAGTTGTGGCAAGATTCAGTCCGGTCGCGAGTTCTCGGTTTGTTAGACGCAGGTACTTTCGAAGCAGTGTAGCAACCAGTAGAGAACCGCCATCAATGCCAAGTGGGTCTTTAACTGTACGGATGGCCGACGAAATTCAAGGCAAGACTTGTAGCGCGGGGCATGCAGAGGGCTTCGATTGATTTTGGAGAAATGTTTGCACCCACCGTATCCGTTTCTGGTGTGCGATTGTTAGGAGCATTGGCATGTGAGCAGAACCTTGAGTGCCATTTCGTTATTCAGCAGGCATTTGTGCAGTCGGACCTTCATGAGGATGTTTTCATGCGTCTACCGCAGGGTTGTGGCAGGCTATCTGGTCTGATCGTGAAGCTATGCAAGAGTCTGTAAGGTTTGAAGCAGGCATCACGGCAATGGCATGCGCACCTGACGAGGTGTTTGTTGCCTTTGAGATTTTTGCGTTGTCTGTCTGATGCGTGTGTTTTCGGTTGATGGAGGAGGGACGTGTGATCATGATCATCGTGGTTCACGTGGATGACATTCTTGCTGCAGGGCAGAAGGAGAGGTGTGACAAGTTTGGCAGTGATCTAAACAGATGGTAAATAACCTTGGAGAGTTGAGGTGGTACTCCGCGTGCTTTTACGAGAGAGACGTAGAGAGAGGGCTGTTGAAGATTTCGCAGCAGAGGTTTGCCGAGGAGTTGGCTGCAGAGTACGGCATTTAGTAGGGGAGGAGTGTGCCCTTGCCTGTGAGCGTGGAGCTTACCGACTTTGACGAGAACGAAGCGTGCGCTGATGTCCCTCTTCGCGAGTTAGTAGGATCTCTGATGTGGTTGGCCACTCAAACAAGGCCGGACATCGCGAATGCAGTACGAGCAGTAGCGCGGTATTGGTTTTCAAGGATGCTGATGTGCGTTACGCTTTCCACCACGGAAGCAGAGTATGTGGCAATCGCCGGCGTCTTGAAGCAAGTGTTGGTCTTGAGGCAGGTATGGCGTTTTATGTTGGCAGATGCCGGTATGCCGTGCATCCCGGTATTCGAGGATAATCAAGCAGCGATTCAGATTGCGCACAACCCGATCACGAACTCCAACTCGAAGCACATCGATGTACGGCATCACTTTATCAGGGTAATGGTAGAGAGGAATGAGGTTTCAATTACTCACGTGCCGACGCAATTTCAGCATGCAGATTTCTTGACGAAGGCTATTAGTAAGGAGTCTTCCGCGATGCACCGTGAGTTTGTGATGAACTTGCAGTGAAGGAAGTGTTTTGGGGTCGATTCGTATTGTGCAGCGGAGAGAGAAAGAGAGAGAAGAGATTGGACAAGCAAAAGAGCGTCTGGTGAATTTGGTAAGAGTTTGGGGGTCATGTTGGAATTTCTTGATTATTTTGGAGTTGTTTTGGTTGTGTTTTGGTTGTGTTGGGGGTTTTCTTGTGATCGTCTTGGAGGGTTTTTGATTGTTTTGGAGATGGTATTGTTGGGGTTATGTTGGGAATTTTCGTGTTTTGGAAAGGATGGTAAAGAAGATAAGATTGATTTTTGTCTAAGCATGACGATGAATACGAGCAGGGGGGCTATTCGACATATTGAGGGTACTTGTAGGGTTAGTTCATAGTAGACGGGTAATATCTTCAGCACATACCTACGGAAATTGCAGCGATGAGATGCGGAGGAACGGGAAATTTCTAGGAATTTTCCTTGGTAGTGAGAGGAGTGTGATGAAGATTTAGAGAGATTCGTTTGTACTTTGAGCGTGATGAGCGTGGCACATTACTTGACGCCGTGACAGATTGACGAGCTCAAGCACGCCCCCGGTTAATACAAATACGTTCTCCAACACGTTTCTACCCTACGACGGCCCGCCATTGCCGAGCTGCTCTACACTCCCAACACACAGGATTGAGCCACCAAATATCAATCAGCCCCGGCCTCACTAAAGCGTGTTCCCCAAAAACCGATGGCTACCGTACGAGCTACAACTGTTGGGCATGTCCTTCGTGTTCGCAACAGACTGACTGACCTGAGGGAAACGAAGCCGGTAGCCAGCGCGAAAAAGCACCTTGGCCCATTCCAGCCGCAACGCGGCGTCCTCGGCATCGCTCGGGTCATAGTGCCGGTTTGGCGGAATCCCGAGTGCTGGTGCAACGCACCTCAGCGACCCCACATCAATCTCCATCCCTAGCAGCTGGGACAGGAGCCCAGCATCAGCCTTGTGAACACGATTGTTCGCCTTGTGCTCCGTTTGAGCAGCAGCGGTTGGCCGTTTGCGTTTATTATGACGCGGGTGTTTAATTCGATTAAAAAAGCAAGTGCTTCGAGCCCTGCTGCTGCTGCTGTAGTACGGAAGTTTGATGAATCCCCCCTCCTGCCGATGCCACGCGTCCGTTTCCAAGGTATAGCGGAGAGCTTACCACGAGAGGTGCATACCGTAGACTTGATGTTGGTAAGCCTCAACGGTGCGACGGGTGTGCACCTGGCTGTATGTTGGTGAGCGGCGTGCAGTCCTGTGAGGTCTCAGGGCGGCGGTGGAAATACCAAACCCGAAAATTGGTTGTCAGAAGGTTCGAAAGGCGTTTTGACCGCGGGAGTTGGGAGACTTTCGTCCCCGGATCTGGCAGTGGCAGACTAACAGCGACCCTCGCAGTCGTGCATCGCGTGTCACCGCACTGCCTCAATGAAGTGTTGCACCAAGAGAATAGGGCGAAAATATTCTTTGCGTCGAAACGTGCTGCGTCTAGTAGGTGCGCTGCTTGGCTGCTGCTATGCTGCTGCTGCTCCTGCTGCTGCTGCTTCGAGCATGTTGCTCGGTACGTGGCATTTGACGAAATCGCGAGGGGCCGTTGATGGTGCAGAACATGACAGACTGCATAACCCCTGACCCGGCATCACTAGCCTACTACGTACCGTGGGTGACCTCTTCGTACTCCTCTATCTAGATGCAAATACCGAATAGATCGGCACAGCCTCTTGCTTGGCACAACAATAAGATCTCTTTCTGCACAACCAACGACAGATCGTCTTCTTGGATACGGGTACATCGGCAGTCAGCAGTCAGTTGAACCGCTTGTCGTTCTACAAGTGCTTTAAACGCCAACCCAGCCCCGAAACCATCCCTCATCCTTTTGTCCCTGCGACTCATGTCGTGCCGGCCCTCGGGGTTACCTATTAAGGGCGGAACAACGGCGGTGAGCCCCTTCTTCCCTTTCAGCCGCCCTTTCTTGGGGTTTGCGATGGGTTCCTCGCCTTCGAGCCACCGCTCGCTCGGGTCATGCAAGTGGAACTTGACAAGCTTGTCAAGTTCTGCCCGAATCTCGAGAACCTTGGCAAACTGTACCGTCCTCAAAATGTCGCCGACTCTGTCCTTCCTGCTCGCCATCATAGTGCGTATGTACGCCCTGCGCTGATCGGACGATTGCCTTTCCTCAGCGGCCCGCACTGCACGTCCTGAGGGTTAAACGCCTTCCTCGTTGTTGTTCTGGTCGTCGAACGTTGGGCCCCAGTAGTTGTCGCATTCACCTGGAACACATCCATCCCTCCCATCGCCGCGCCCTGTGTAGTCCTTTGACCCCGGAAACGGTCCATGGCTCATCGTTGACGTCGGCTGACTTCCTCCAACCGTAATGTACGCTGCGACTGTCGAAGTCGCGACGAAGAAAAACTCCGCCATACTTGCCGCCGGTGAAACGAAGTAGCACTGCGAAGTAGTGCTTGCATAGTCGCCCATGACGCAAAAAAAGCTTCAAGCATAAGCACGAGTGGAAGCCGTTGGCGCCGAAAACCCCGACGTGGCTCGGCTTCCTTGTGGTTGGGAGGTTGTATCGCGCGGCGGCAACAAGGTTTACGAGAACAGCAGCAAGCCAAGAACGCCGTCAAGGAGGTACGCGCCCACGCGCTGCTGCCCGCTGTCGATTGAGCGTCAGTCCCACATGTTATATCTTCATCAAGGTCAGTGTCGGTTGGCGCTTATTCGAACACTTTACCTCGGGGACACCTATGGACCGCTTCACGGAGTGATCGGTCATCCAGAGGAAGGGGGTAGCCGTCATTGTCGGCCGAGCCTGAAGCCATGACTTTCACATCGTACGGCGCAGATCCGCCCAGACCGTCACTATGAGTTCCTGAGACATGGACGATACGGGGTGAAATGTTTGGAAGGAAGCTTACTAATGTCAAAGAGCAATACGTCACGCAAACGATGCTTGTACACGCTGTAGGGGTTAGGCCTCAGGGTCCAAAGACTGTAGCATAGTTCACACGAGATGCGTCACTCTTTGTCGTGGATACGCGCTATTACATGTGCTGCAGGCATGAGTTGCAGCAGTAGGGCATCATGTCGCGCATTTTCCAGCACTCGTGGGAAGCCTCGGTTTTCGGTTTGTGTTTTTTGTGTTTCGTGTTGTTTTGTATTGAGATGAGAAACAAGTGCGCTCTCGCCCCTTGTGATCCTCCACTCCTACACCATCAAAGCCTGACTTGGTGTGGAGGACACCTGTCGGGAGTACAACCAACCATGTGTACACATACAAAGTGTAGGAAGATATAGCTCCATCGGGGTATCTTGTCACTGGGAGAGTGACAAGAAACGTACCGTCGGAGATTTATCTCTTCCGAAGTCCCTGGCCACTTACCGAGAGAAGACGCGGAGAGTCTTCTACTCTCCTCTCCTTCTGCTCTCTCCGGCCACTCTCTATTTCTCTACCTCTCTCCTCGTTACATCTCACGAAAGGAAATAGCCACGCTTGGCAGTGGGAGAGTACTGCAAGAGCACCGGCCTCTGTCTCTGACAGGGACCAGTGTCCTCATTGGCGTCGACGAAGAGATCAGTCAGTCAGAAACAAGGGATATCCTTTGTTTGGTCGTCCCGAGGCACAAACCAGATTTCAGCCGCCGCAGTCGAACTGTAACCTCTCTGAGTTAACCGATTTTCCAAGCACAGTCTACGAAGCGACCGCAGGACACAGCACGCATCCACTTTTGCTGGAACGCCTATCGTCTAGGCACTTCTCACCCGCTGGCAGTACTGGCTGGCTCCGAGGTCTTGTTTGATGGGATCGAAAAGGCTTGCAGGTGCTCGCCTTGGGACGCTTTTCCGGCCACAATGAATCGGGTTCCTTACCTGTGAAAATATAGGCACACCCGAATGTTTGCAGGGAGGGACAGATCTCGTATGACATTCGGCATGGGAAATGGCGAGGTATTGCAGATGCCTATCGGCGTGCTTCCTTGCAAAGCGCGAAAGGCATAGTGAGCTACACTCACAATATCTTGCACAATTGGATTGTATAATTGATCGTGGGACGGAACGCGCGCAGTACATTTTCCTGACCCCACGACAGACAATTATTTGCTAACTATAATACCCAGGACTAGGCCCACATTGATCCAAGGATGCCGTTAGATTCGCTTGCCGTACTCAATGCCCAGCATCTGGTTCACACAGCTCCCCCATTCATGCACGCATCCCAAGGACCCCGCGAGAGAATAACCTCTACTGCCACAATGTTCTCCCAGACTCTTTGTATTTACGTGCATTCAACGTATTTCTTACTGCTTTCAGGTTGTCTCACACATATATGTATTTTCCAGGGCTCGTGAGAGGACTGCATGACGAGCAAGGTCGCTGCTTTCACATGCTTCAACAGTGACGGTAACTTCCGCGGAAGAAAGAGGACGGCAACGTCATCCGAAAGTGCCAGGTTCCCATGATTGGCAACAGTGAGATCTGCCACAACGTGGTTTCGTGCCACGTGAAAAGATTTGACGCCACCATAGGACGTGAGTATGATGGCACTCTTTTTGCAGGCCGAACCGTCTGTGAGACTGAGAGGCCCGGAGAGACGGGGCACCCGACAGTGCGCCCCCGAAGTGACTGGTACATGGCCATGGCGGTCAAGGGGTAGATTTAGCTCCACGTGGGCATTTTGGTCGAGGTGCATTTGATGGAAATGGGGGGTGCCTGGAGTCTGACGTCTCTGACGTCGAACTTTTTCCAGTGCTTCTTCGAAGTAGTTTCTTTTGTAGGCATTGTGCGTCCTGGGCGCGTCCTGGGCGAAATGGGATGATTTGACCTCTTCGTGTTGGAGATTATGTTTCCTCTGGGGAAGGTTTCGTAAATTGCTCGGCTAGGGGACTGTACAGGTTTGCATGTTTGGCTTCTTGTTTGTTTCGCAATGCACATTATGTATGTGTGCATCTCGAGTTCCCCATCACCCAGTGTTTGAATCTTTGTCGTTTTCGGTATGTATGGGCACACCAACCCCCCGCCTTGGGCGTATACCCGGGGTACTCGTCAAGCAACTGGGAACCGAGCCTTCTCACTCCACGTCTGACACGACCCCCATCGTCGAACACATAGTGCTCATCAGACGCCCTGGCAGGTGCAGCATGTGGGCTCAGGTACATGCGGAGTGCTGGGCATTGCAGCAGCGTACCCGCATCCACGTCACAGATGGTCGTTGCAAGAGCGACCAGGACTAGACAACAGATATCCATGCACGCCCATCCACAACCCGACTATACAACAAGAGCAGGTGTTCGAAAAGCGTTCTTTCACTCGTATAGATTGGCGTCCAGAACCGAAAACAGCAAAGAGTCAAACACTAGGTTATGGGGAACGCGAAATACACGCATACATAATCTACTTCGTGAAACAAACAAGCCAACGTGCAAATCTGTACAGACCCGTACCTGAAAACATTACAAAATATTGCCCAGAGGATTCATAATCTCCAACACGAAGAGGTCAAATCATCCCATTTCGCCCAGGACGCGCCCAGGACGCACAATGCCTACAAAAGAAACTACTGGACAAAGTTCGACGTCAGAGACGTCAGACTCCAGGCACCCCCCATTTCCACCAAATGCCCCTCAATAAAAAAAGCCACGTGGAGCTAAATCTACCCCTTGACTGACACGGCCATGCACCAGTCACTTCGGGGGCGCACTGTCGGGTGCCCCGTCTCTCCGGGCCTCTCAGCCTCACAGACAGTTTGGCCTGCGAAAAGAGTGCCATCATACTCACGTCCTATGGTGGCGTCATATATTTTCACGTGGCACGAAACCACGTTGTTGCAGATCTTGTTTCCCGGAATCATGGGAAAATCCCTGTCCTTCTCGACGATGTTCTAGTTCTCGTCACTTGACATGAGCTTTGTACGCTTTCCGGGGAAGTTGCCATCACTGTCGAAGCATGTGAAAGCGGAAACCCAGCCCGAGATGTAGCTCACCCCCGAGCCCTGGGATCCATGTGTGAGAACCTGACGAACGTAGGCAACAGAATACATGTATCCGTTCATGTGTACAAAAAAATGCGTGGGGACACTACTACAGCGCCCAGGAAACACATCGACATGTTCCTCCAGATCGATCGGATACATACCTGGTACGCTGAGACTGCGGTGTCTCGAAGATTGTACATGAGACTTTTTTGGAGGCATTACAAGCGGTGGCAGGTGTCCTTGGTATTTGAAAATCGAGTGGATTGCGGGTGTCGCACCCAAAA